GATTTCATGAGAAAAGGGAAAGCTTAACAATCAGCATATAAGGGGAAAATATGGGAATTCTCCAAGTTTCCCAAATAAATGCATTAGATTCACTTTATGCTTTGTTTGGCATTAGATTGAAACAGCTCAACCAGTGGTGCTCTGAACTAAGCACATTCTTTAGTAGGCGCTTCTGGTCAGATTGAAACTTAGCCCACTTCTTGTATTGGTAACAAATGATATGATATCTCCAATTACCACTTCCGATAACTTGGCAAACAATCAGGCCGTCTGCTTGAGTCACTTATCGATGAAACAAGCCCAGCAGTATGGCAGATTAAGTATGAAAGTATGTAAGAGTAAAGGCTCATATTCGAAATCGCTGTGGGTAGATTCGATTAGTTGCATATTGAGTGATGGGAGTGACTCAGCCGAAGGGCCCTTCCAGAGCAAACAAAATGGCTTAGAACTACTGACACGATGCCAAAAGTTGATATTATTACTTGTAAAGATAGTTGTAGGTAAGACCTTGGGCTTATCTGCCACTGAAGAAGCGGAGCGTTTGGACCCAATGACTTGAGACTAGTACTTGTGAAAACCAAAACCAAAGAGAAGTGCCCAATTCGAGGTTTTTGCGTCATGGGCTTACAAATTCTGAGGTGTATTTGGATCATAACTGCGACCAGCCCATCTACAATTTTATGACTCCTCAACTGAAAGCCTTCGCTGCTCCTAATTACTTATAAGAAGTTCCATGAAAGATCGTGTTTAGGATCGAAGTAAAGAAAAAAATGTCAAATTCAGATTAAAGGAAGGGAGTCAGGTCCGCTGGCTAGTACGAGTAGCTGAAACAACTGGTCACCGCCGTAGCGAGCGAGGGCTTTGTCGTAACTGACAGCGCTTTTCAATCACTTTCCGAGAAATTTCTAGCACGTCATGGTTTGTTATAGCGTTCACTGGGAGAAAAAGAATTTCGATGGTGTCAACCTCATTTTCTAGGCCTTCAATTTACCTTTTTTCCGACTACTACTGTATTTACTTTCTTTAGTGGTAGGTTTCCTAAGTTTTGTACCACTTTTCCTGACCAAAAAGAGAAACCGATACTTTCTGTTGCCAGGGATAAAAAAGGACCACATTAGATTCTCAATAGGACTCATGCTTTTTTCCTTTTTATAAAGCCCCTGAATGTCCTCACATTTTCAATTTCACGCCCTTCTCACCGTACAACGATACGACACTGCAGCACAACGAGAAGAAAAATGTTCAAACAGAAAAAAACAAAAAAAAANGACCACATTAGATTCTCAATAGGACTCATGCTTTTTTCCTTTTTATAAAGCCCCTGAATGTCCTCACATTCTCAATTTCACGCCCTGCTCACCGTACAACGATACGACACTGCAGTACAACGAGAAGAAAGAAAGTTCAAACAAAAAAAAAAAACAAAAAAAAAATAAAAGTTCAAAATAAAAGCTCTGACAGAACCAAAGGACACACAACTGAGTGTTAAGCAATCACAAATAAACGTCAGCTTTGAGAAAAATTACCGAAAATATGGCGAATCACGTCGTTCTGCATAGGTCCTTGAAATGGATTAGCATATACTATATATGTATTTATCGAACAAATAGCTAAAGCCTAAGGTCTAAAAAAGCTGCTGTGAGTACGACTGGATGGGTTAGACAGCTGGATTAGGTTCAGCAATGTCTAGCAAGGATAAACAGCCTAGCAGAACAGCCAGAGGAATAAAGCAGAAACCGATTTTCTGTGGCCATTAAGGTGATGCTTGACGGAGGGGTTAAAGTAGGGTTCCGCTAAGTTTGACATCGTCAAGGTTTCATCTATTCCGGTAGTGATTTAAGAGATCCTTTAATTTTTATTTTTTGTCAATGAGCAAGATGAGTAGCCTCCGAGTTCTATAGAATTGGGGTGGTTTATACTTGTAGGCTCCCAGTACGGGCTTGAAATACCGTAGCTGTACTAGATGCAAAGAGTTGGCGGTAAAGCCCGAAGTGCATCGAGGGTAGAATGGATCAGAGGCACACCCGGTGCAGTCTACTTTCCACAGGACCCCTCGAGATATACGAGAGGTTCAGAAGAACAGCTGCAGCTCAAACTACATAACTTCCACCACTGATAAGCTGGTTCATACTGCAGCCCCTGACCATCTTCGAGATAACGGTTGGGCTTGGCACTGACATTTTATGATTTGCACATGACTATTTCATCGAACTGCCTAGGAAGCGGTACCCTCACAAGGTTTCTCAGGCCCAGCTATTGAATGCCCTGAGTTCAGCTTCATGGGCACCACTAAAAGACCATTCGTTTG